TGCGATTTCGAAGTGAAACAGTAAATGGAGGATTCTCAGTTTAGTTTTGCTGGCTACATAATGGTTTATGGATGCAACCCTTTCATTTGGAAACGCCCCTTATCTCCAAATTACTGTGAGTTTGTAGGACCCCAAAACTCCCAAGTTATTGAAGAAAAGTGTTTTGAAGCTCAGGAAATGCTCAAATCAAACCCTTCCTAAGATGGAGTTTGGGTCATCATTTTGATGGATATCAGAAATATAGGATGGATCGAACTGGTATTGAGAAGCCAAATATTGAGAAGCCGGAGTTTTGGCTTCCAATACATAAATAGTTTGGATCAGCAGGTCCACCATAAAACCCTTTGAAAAGAAAATTGGAATATGTTGCTTCATTGGGCTGGCACAACGGCAGTCCAAAATTCTTCATTACAAAGCAAAAAAAAAAAAGGTGCAAGCTTCCTATGCTTCCCCTATTCTATCTTTCTCCTTATTCCCCTATTCTATCTTTCTCCTTATTCAACCGTCCTTTCTGAATAGAGGGTTAAGATTGCCCCAATCACAATGCCACGTCTCTACACTATTTTATTTTTATTTTTTTTGTATAAACTATTTGGACATCAAATTTTGGACATCCATTCCTCTATTAAATTTGCAATAGAGAAAAATATAAAAAAATATTTTCAATAAAATAAAATGATTAAAATACCTTTGAAAGTTTCAAGGGGTATTTTGGTCATTATATTTTATCAAAAAATTATTTTTAATATTTTTTTATAGGTGCGCCCCAATAAAAAGATGGCAGGTACCAAATTTCATATCTATACAATTTGTATAAAAAAAAACTAAAAATAAAATACTTTGAGATGTCAGATCTAAGATCAAACAGTGAGTGGCTCTCTTGATCAAAATTGGACGGCAGGATGGTAGGGGGAGGATAGAACTTCTATGTTGTAGGGGAAGCACATAAACCTTTCCTTAAAAAAAAATGTTACGTTATGATATACAAAAGAGAGGTAAAAAGTTATCAAATTCTATGATAATTTCAAATTTTCTCATACGAGTGACAGCGAGAGTGAGAGTGAGTGACTGTGGTGGTGTATTTGGTTATCACATCAATCTAACACAGTGAAGGTGTCTCTTTCGCTGTGTCAATTAAGGATTATCACATCTTGCCAAAATAATGATAATTATTACAAGCTTATGGGCTGTAACAATCAGCTTTTATAGTTCGTATGCAATGACTCTATAAGGCTTGGTTACTCAATTTTTGTTTGCAACAAACAACTTCATTTCAACTTCATTTAATGAAAAGGAGTATATACTTATAGGTAAATAAAAGCAAAAAGCAGCCAAAAATACGACATAATGATTTAGAAAACAATAGATTAAAACTAGTGGTTCAAAAATCGTCGAGTCACCATGGACTCGGGTTATTCGACACACGAATCGTTCACCCTGTGTCGATTCTGACCTAAAACTGCACCTCATCCGTGTTTAGATAGAAACCCAACGAGTCAAATGATTTTGACGTCACAGACCGATTTCTCATGTCATAAACACGGTAGAATCGAGAGTGTGCACGGGCGAGTTGGGCATCCCAATTTAGATCTTTTTGGTTTTGGGTGCCGTGCTGGAAGGAACTTCACCTTCTTACTATAGCCACTTGTTTTCTGGGTGTTCCTCCTATTTATTATTCCTCTTCCTCCAGATTGCCCCAGGCATAGGCCTCTCCAAGATCTCTGCATCTATGTCACTTTTGGATCTATAGCCACTTGTTTTCGGGGTGTTCCTCCTATTTATTATTCCTCTTCCTCTAGATCGCCTCCCGCATAGGCCTCCAAGATCTCTGCATCTATGTCACTTCTGGATCTGAGGGTCAAGATGAATTGGGAGCTGTAACTCTGCTTCAGTTTTCTTTTTTGTTTCATTTGTTCTGAACTCTACTAGCATTAAGATATTCTTCTCTTCCACTTCCTCCAAGATCTCTGCATCTATGTCACTTCTGGATCTATAGCCACTTGTTTTTCGGGTGTTCCTTCTATCTATTATTCCTCTTCCTCCAGATCCCCCCCCGCATAGGCCTCTCCAAGATCTCTGCATCTATGTCACTTCTGGATCTGAGGCTCAAGATGAATCGGGAGCTGGAACTCTGCTTCAGTTTTCTATTTTGCATCATTTGTTCTGAACTCTACTAGAGTTAAGATATTCTTCTCTTCCACTTCTGTTTGAATGAAAAGGAGTATATATTTATAGGTAAAGAAAAGCATTAATGAAATAGGTAAAAAAAAAGCAAAAACCAGCCCAAAATACTACATAATGATTTAGAACACAATAGATTAAAACCAATAGTTTAAAAATCGCCGAGTCAGGCGAGTCGAACGATTTTGATGTCACAGACCCATAATGATTTAGAACACAATAGATTAAAACCAATGGTTTAAAAATCGCCGAGTCAGGCAAGTCGAACGATTTTGATGTCACAGACCGGTTTTTGACGTCACAAACATGGCGAAATAGAGCGTGTATACGGGCGAGTCGGGCATACACGTGCGACAAGCACGCACAAGCGTCCCACGAAGCGCCAACCTTTCACGCATGCAATGTTTCAAGTTATCCGTGACTAATTTATAGTTGTCAATCTTCCTCAAAACGTTCGATATGGGATATTAAACTATGTAGTCTTGAGATC